ACATACCCCTGGTTCATCAACTTTCTGCTCAGACACTGGTGACGTTTTACAAAGTCTGAGTAGCAGCTGCAAGCTCTTGAATACCGAATGAGTTGGGAAATGTTTATCTAATATGCAGGTGAAGTTGATATATTGCTACTAAGGTGGAGGAAATTGATAATTTCAAAATTGAAATTGTCTCGTTTGTCATAGATTCTGGTACTGAGATGACCGCCTATGTCAAATTCGAGGTATTATAATAAGTAAAAAAATGAGGCAGAGAAAGCCGTGTATGTTGATGATGTGCTAGTTCTGTTCAACTGGTCTTGTATGCGTGTAGCTAGTTCAACCGCTGTTATGTGGGGTTCTGCATTAACATGTTCTGCTTGCGAAGTACTGTATGTAACATCATTCATCTGTATAATGCCACGATTGTCATCTCCAGCTTTGTTGTCTTGAAAGACATTATTGGATTAATGGCTGTAGTTATTGTACCGGAAAACAAAACAGGTACATATATAATAAAAGCGTTATACTATATAGTAGTACGTGACTATATAAACAAAGGCAATGAAAATATTTGAATATGTAATTAATTTATATTAGATGAGAAAATAGATGACAGTGTGGCCTTGAACTTCTGAGAAAAAGACGTTGCGTACAGTATTGGTACCACTGAGCCTTACACGACGTTCCCAATAAAACTAAAATGTTCACGTTGAACGTTTCAATCATACGAGCTTTTAACTTAATATGTGAAAATGCCGTTTATAGTGACAGTAGAACTTAAAACTTACAGTTTTCTAAGAAGCATTCATTTTGCAGAGATTTTCGAATGTTGATAGAAGATAGCCTGATATTTTTCTTTTTTATAATCTCATTTTATCAACACTTTATTCATAAGAGGTCTGTTGTATTCATGTTTTCATAAAAAGTGACTTTGCTAGTGTTATAACTCAAAATAACTGAAATTAAATTATAAATCCCTAAAGAAATACTTTGTAAAATATGCACCAAGTGTGAAATAGAAATATGTTTTCTTATGCTGCGCTGCCATTGTCAATTTTTAATATCGGGGTCTTAATTAATTGTTTTTATTGAAGATAGCTGCAAATTTGCACTATCATTATTAGCAAATTTGATGCAAAAATATAATAATAATAACTTCTCCAGCAACATTATGAGGAAAAACGAATGAAATCGACATTATTCAAGTTTGACGGTCAACATCACGAAAAGGTTGACCTATACGATGATAGTTTGTCTCAACTCTCGAGAAACATGTTTTGCAGTAGTAGATCTTTTAAAAGACACCAGTCATACGATCTGTATATTTACTGATCGTGTTTTATTCCTAACCATCACATGTTCATTTAATCTGGATTCGCATTCTATGTGATGCATGCATAGCCGGGGATATTTGTAAAACCTGTAGACGAATCCGGTCTTTGTCCATTTGGAGTTCCAGCAATTCCTTCAGGTTTTCCCCTTTCTATGTGTATTCAAAATGAATATCGAAGTTTCGAACACCAGTAAAGTACTGTATATAGATTTTAACTGTTTTCTGAAATCATTAAAATCAGTACCTTTAATGTTATTAAACTCTAAAACATTTACGTCCTCAAGGTGGATTTTATGTGCAAGTTATTCATATAAACGATTGCTAAATTCTAAAGCTCCGTTATTTCTTCCATAGTCTTTTTCAACCTGTACCTTATTTATATTTATCCTATCACAACTATTTTATTAACAAACGATGAGTACATGCAAATAAAGATGACATATTTATTCGGTGTCCTTGGTTTTAGATTGTGTAGGTTCGTTTTGGAAGAAAGAAACTTTTTCAATATTTAAATGTGCCGCGCTGGTCATAGAGGAGAGGGTTAACGAATGGTTAAAACTGAGTCTACGATATTAATGTATTCTTAATTTGGTCAAAATACTTCAAATTTTACATATAAATAGGTAGAATTGCTCAAAATCACTTTTTTGGCAATATATCCACAATGTGCTGATAGTGTAGCCTCTTAATTACTTTTATGAAGAGATTTAATTTTATTTGGCATTAAGGCTTTTGAAATATATATTCATTTAAGAACCGAATTGTGATCTTTTTATAATCTATGATAAAGTTGAAGTTCAATGCCATATTTGGGCAAAAGCTTCTTATACAGAAGAATCAATTTGACTATTGTTGTTACCTTTAATTTAATTTTACTCTCTCTTTAGATATGCAACAGCAGGACGGTCAGTATGAAGGGAATATTGATGGATTCACATGAAACCATAATGTTCTAACCAACGACGATACATCAGCACCACCACCGGCTGATGAATCTGTAATAAACAATCCGCAAAATATATTACCACCATTAAATGCTTTTTCCATGCCAAATGATTCAGTCAGCAAGGAGCACGGGTTAAATAACTATAATGATTTGACCTTGCCATACATTAATAGTACTCCATATAGTACTTACCTATAAGAAAGAAAAAAGGTCTTGTCATTTCGTTTTGGTTGGGATATATACATCCCGCCATTGTGTTATTGTGCTATGGTAATTTTTTGCATTCTTGTGTTTCATTTTTGCTTATGTGCTTTGCCTATATAGTGTCTACATGCCATTTTGTTTTTCTTTGTTGACATAGTTGTTTGTTTTTATAGTGATTAAGATTATAACACAATGTTGACTGCTGTACCCCAATTTTTGACATGTTTACCTATTATGTCTGTTTGTTTTGCTCACACATTGAATATAATGGAATTCAATGCGACTGTCATACAAGCTAGGGGTTAAGCTAACCAGGTTGAATTCACCATTTTCTACATAAGGAAATGGCTGTTACAAGTCAGGAATATGACAAATGTTTTCCATTCGTTTGATGTGTTTGAGCTTTTGATTTTGCCATTTGTTGAGGGACTTTCCGTTTTGAATTTTCCTTGAAGTTCTGTATTTTTGTTATTCTACTTTTTTTTTTGAAATGTATATGCAATTGCATAGTTGTTAGTTACTTTGTCTAGGAAACGGAGGTAAGCATGGAACATCGACAATCAACTAACATTCCCTTTAAAATACCGATAACATTCGGAAAATCCAGACGATTTTGTCTAATCGGATTACAATCGTGACTATGTTATGACTGATTCTGCTGTATCGGATCAAAATCATAACACTGTACTGTGTTGTCTGTCATGTGAAACGGGCATTAAATGGAGACATTAAAAAAGCATATTCGTTACTGGCCGATTCGTGCCGAACTGGAACCGTCTTTGTCTATTCACTCTTTGGTCCCTGTCTGATCTCTGTCGGGTCGCATTAGGGAGAATTGGGATGATATTTGGTACTCGAACAATTTGGCGTGTCGTAATTTCCTATGAGCTGTTATAGAAAAAAAGTGGGGTGACTGGTTGACGTTAGAAAATAGAAAGACAAAAAAATAAGTCAGCAAAACGGTCAAAACAAGATCAATGTCATTTTTGGCTGTGGAAGTCGCAACTATCAACTTGGTTTAAATACATTATGTAATTTATAAACAGAAAGATTATATATATGAATGGTTCTTTTAAATCATGTCAGTACGGAACCACTGGCTTCTAGACAAACGGTACACTTACTTTAATGGACTGATAGTCCATCAGGTGCGGTACCGTATTAGTCGTAAGGAACTGTTATGAAACCGTATGCTTTCGATTTCTTTGCGTACGACAGGTTTTATTGGAATTATCTTTATCGATACCGGAGGAAAAACAAAAGAGCATAGAAATCGATCAATCCCGTCAAGAAATAAATAAATATTTAATTCAAAATAGAATTTGCGCATAGATGGATTATCATCTTTCATGTGTATTAATATCTAATCGAAACAATGTGAAGCTATGCGCTCGCTCGCCTAAAAGTTATAAGTAGCTGTGTATAGCTATAAATATTTTACAATGTGCGGAAAACACCCAGTATTCTGTACAAATCATAGTTATACAGACATATTTAAAAGACATTTGACCCCACTTTGACTATTTAGCCGATCAGTATTTTTTTCTCTTTTATCCTACTTTTTTTTTATTTAATAAATGTTGCTGGATGATTAACGGAAAAGCAGTAAATACAACTGTTGACGTTTGTGGCTTGACCTGACCAAGGATCTAGGCCATAAGTTCTATATATCAAGGGGCCCATACTACCATAAGTCACTGAGAGGATTGAATAGTATAAAAGCAAGTCGATTAAAAAAATATAAGTAGCTTACTTTCTTAAAAAGCTTATATCCTAAGTTTGAAATTTCAGTGCTTAGAGATCAAGCGAAAAGAAAGTTATGAAAAAATAATTGGATTTGCTCCCACATCACGAGTTATATACTTGAAATAGTATTTATACAATTGCAAGATATCTTACAATGTTATTATGAGATATCTTATATTTTTTTTTAATTTTGTGTCTTTGACTTGCTGTTTCATTGACTTAAGGGACAACCATTCGATACTCTGGGGATGAATGGGGGCGCAAAAATGTATTTCCACATTGTACATAATTATTTTTCATTTATATCATGTCTTGGGTAAGATTATTTATTTTCAGCTGTTATTGGACTAGGAAATTCATTTGCAAAATCCCTATGCCCACTCCCCTGAAAATCAAATAGTCGTCTCCCGATCCTGATCTCTTGATATTCATATGACAGCTTAAAATATAAAATATACAACCTTGAGGCATAGAGACAGGTCCAATTTTCAACACTTATAACATTAATAAATTTGAGATATTACAAATGATTCTCAAGAGAAAAGAAAAACGTTTTTTTCAGTTAGTTTTCGTGAATAACTAATAAACTGCATGTAATTGTTTGTTATTTTACATAATAAATAATCTACTGTCTTTAAGCACAAATATATTTATATACAAATGATCTAAGATTTCTTAAGAAATTGAACTGTGTTACAATATATCCAAACCATCTAAAGATGAGGGGGTCATTTAATTGTGTATTTAAATCGGTGTGATTTGAATACACAATTAAATGACCTCCTCGTACACCTTTAGATCATATTCACGATTTCTTTATTTCAAAATACCTGTGTTTGTATTGATCCCATACCTGTACTTCTCAACATTTATAACAAAAATGGCGAACAACATCATATGTGTTTTGGGAGTTTATCTTTTATCTTTGCTTACAGGTAAGAACACAATAGTCACAATTTATTTGTTTTCACTACTTTTTTCACTAACGGCGTAGGTAACAAGCCATACATACATTGAATCATATTTCGAAATATGTTTACACTTTTATATGTACACTTTTAGCACTTATCGGTCCATCTTTAGTAATTGAAATAAATCATTTTTTCTATACTATGTTTGCCAAAAAAGGTTTTCAAGGGTTCAAATCAATCGGTGAAGGTAATACCGCAAAACCTTGTCACGGTTTATAAACAGGTATGACAACTGGGTTACATTGAGATAAATAGTTTATGAAAATTTCTTTAAATAAACCAACCAACAAACAAACAAGCACACAATTATGTATTTGCCAAACAAGGCACACGGAAAGCGAAATGATTATTTCATAATTATAAAACTTAATAAAAGAAATAAAATTACATTGCACACAGTATAATATGATTAGTTTGATTTAATAGAATCACATTTAATATTAAAGTAAATGAAATAAGTAAGATGGTAATGATAAAAATAGATGTTATGACCCACTGTTTATTACTCTGGTCCCTTCACTGGACAGCACACCTTTATCTACAACCACTGTTATATTAAATAACTGCTCCCATAAACGTGTAAAAATAACATTTATCAATAATATATATGTATTTTCCATTTAAAACGTGCCTTCTTTTTCTGTAAACAAAATGGACAATGATATATGTAGAACGTTTACATTAGCAGCGAAGAAATGTTTTATTTGTAAAGTTACAAAATTGAACCTTTGTAATGAAACTGCTTACTCTTTGAAACGATTCTATAGTTTGATGAAGCAAAGATATTGCGCAGATTTTGGTATAACTGTTTCAAGGACAAAGGAATGGGTATTTGTAACTGTCCATTAATGCAAATTAAAAAAAATTCGTCAATTTGCTTATGACATCTATTTATTCTGTAATAAAAATATAGATAAAAATACACTTTTTAGGTGTTCCATTTGTATTCCGTTTTACCATATTATACTGTATACTGCCCAAATGTTCCTAGGAAAATACAATTATCCGTATAATCCACTCTTTAGTCTGTTAATGAGTAAATGCAATCGTCCTGTTACATGAAATACATGTAATATTGGTCACTGGACGTTGATGGCAATTTATTTTATTCGACAATAACATGAATAAAAAAAACAAGTTAATAAAAATATTTATTAAATATTTAAATTGTATTTCAACTGCGTTTCGAAAATACTTATAGCTGTTTTAAAAACAATTTTAAAATCAACATTAAATTTTGTTTATTTTGTTAATCATGAACAAAAAAAAAACCTAGCATGCCATGTGCTTTCACATAGCATGGTGGTTGCATATTTGTCATGTATTATATCATGTCGTATTTACCACTTTAGAAAACGATTTAAATCTTATTTTGACTCGGTTCAAAAGATCAACTAAACCCGGATGTTATTTCACACACAGTTTAATCATATATTTATCTAACTTTAAATCACGGGTTAAATTTCATTTGATTATAAACAAGGGTGTGCTGAAAAAAAGATAACAACATTAGGGTAATAGAGGACAAAAGGTTTATGTAATTGCAATGATAAAGCTGCTTTTGACCTCTTATGGATAAAAAAAAAATGTCTGCCATACCATATCCTGCAGAGTTTTAAGGGTATCGGTAATAGAATATTTGGATTTTTTAGACCATCAATTTTATATTTCAATTTTGACATATTATGCAGAAATACATGGCTCATATCATTCTGATGATAAAGCATCGGTAGTTAAAAATCATTAAAAAAAAAAGATATGGATAATTTCCAGTACTGGGTCAAGACTCCTTTGAAAATTTTTATGTTAATTTATATATATAAATTTTGTTCTAGGTACCAAAAAGAAAAGTCATCTTTTTATGCGTCTGTCCCAAGTCAGGAATCTCTAGCCTTTGTTAGTCTTGTGTGTTGTTTTTAATTTTGGCTCATTTATATGATTCGGAGTTTAGTGTGGCGTCCATTTCGTTGAACAAGTATATACATTATTGTTTAGGGGCCAGGTAAAGGCAGCCTCGGAATGCAAGATTTTCACTCTGCGTTGAAGATCCATAGGTGGCCTTGGGCTGTATTCTGCTCTTTGGTCGGGTTGTTATCTCTTTTACACATCCTCCGTTTCCCAAGGAATTTATACATTGTACACGTTATCAAAGATTTTCCATAAGAAATGAATATCAATATACAAAAAATAGTTTGCTGTCAAAATATGAAACTTATTCACAATCATTGGAAAATAAAATAAACAGTTTAAATGAAAATAACAAACTTGTTTTCTTATAAAAGCATTAAAGTCAAACATTAAAAAAACAAACAATCGACAAATAATGGCATTACAGTTAACCATTATGGTTTAATCGCGAACACTAGAAAGAGTTTAATAAATCAAAAACTGATATGGTAAAAAAGACATCCTGAATAAAATAGCTTAAGTCTATCGATAGTATCTTTATAAAACATCAATAGTACTAAAGAACATAATCTTATAATTAGGAAAATTATAAAAAAACAAACTAGAAAGATTTATGGAATATAACACACGAATTATAAAAAAAGGCGAAAATAAAATCCTTCAGTTGATATTGAGTCATATTTGATTTAAAAAAAAAGATTTTGCGCAAGAGGCAATTAAACAAATGATATTAATATCAATAAAGTTTATGCCAACACAGTATACGATGAAGAACTCAATTTCTTTTTATATCTGAATCAAATCTCACGAGAGAACACTGGACGGGGCTTCTCCGACTGAAGAGTACGATACGGTTGTGCAGGTTGTATCAAAAACGTGTAGATAGAGTGCCATGCACCTAGCACGACAAAGACCTCCACAGATATTATTCGTTCAGAGTACGCTGATTGTGTGCCATGACGTAGTCTTCAATTTTAAAACCCTTACTAACATCTACGGCAGTCAGCATTAAATTTCGTTGCTTTTTTGTGTCCGTTCCACTTTTCCCCATCGTTATTTCTTCAGATAAAGCATTTTAACGCCTTTACATAACTTTTTTATGCTGCGGGGACGTGAAACACCAACAATAAACCAATCAATCAAAAATCAACTGTTCAATCAATCTAGAAATGCATAATTCTATTTTTTTAATATTACAGTCTGGTGCATATTAATATGCAATTTAAAAGTAAAACACCCATAGTAAATAAATGGTAGTGTTTAAATGTTAGTTAATATAATATCTACGGCAACTAAAAGTATATAATGTGTTCAGTAGCTGACCTTCGATGTTGTACAGGGAGACAATTTTGTTCACCTTTCATTCGATATTTTTAAATGATTTATATACATATACACACACTCGGCAAATGTCAATAAATTAATCGTAATAGGTTGAGGGATAGAAAGAGCAGACAAATCTAGGATTCATATTGGATAGAAAAGTTGATCCATATTCATACTTGGGAATTGTTTTTTAAGTAATACTATATTCTCTTTCAAAGAAAATTAACAAATAGTTAACCTAGAACAAAACGGTATTTCGTGTTAATATTAACTGATGTGAAATTGATAAAATTATCAATTTCTGTAAATATACAGAATTATCATATTAAAGACTTTTATGTGGCTTGAAAGCATCTGTTTGAACCATTAATGCTAGACATAAATTCAATATCTTATGGTGTACGGTCAGTTTAGAAAACCTCCCTTTGAAAGTTACATTAAAATGAGATCAATACCAGTTTTTTTATATAGATAGATGTTATATCTTAAAGATACAAAATTGTATATTTTCAAAAAATGGAAACGACAAATTACATGCGTCCAAAGCGCTTTTCTGGATTTACCCTCATTAGGAATGCTCAAAACCGAATATTTGAAAGCCAAGGATGTATATATGAGAACCGAAACAGTTGAAGAGCTATATGACAAAAATGACCTTAAAATAATAGCCAAAAATTCATTTTTGCCTGAGGGAATTTCTTAATAATCTATAAATTTTTAAACGGACAATTTAAGAAAGGTTTGTTATAAATCATGTCAGTGCCGAAGTACTGACTTATTATACAATACAATACAGCACTGAAAAAATGAAACAACACTACAAATTTCATGCGCCTGAAGCGCTTTTCTTGATTTACCTTCATAAGGTCAAGTAGATAGTTGCGATAGGTAGAATCAATATAGACTTGTCTTTGCTTTCAATTTCAAAATGGTTCAGTCGGATTGTAAAAAGCATAAAACTGGGTCACGAGATTTATAGTATGATATTTAATACAGGGAGGTAGAGATACTGTTACAAAGTACAGAAAGATTTATTGTGTACAGTTTGTAATAGAGATATTGGAGATAACTTAATATTTACTTGTAATTCTTATATGATTTGCATATCTACAAATACTTGAATGTGATTTGTTCATTATCAGTGATTTCCGTGGTTTACACTCCAGACCATATATCGTCAACATTACTTTCGTAACCAGCTATGTAACCACTGTGTCGATTTCACTGTCACAGGAATTATATGCATGTACGCTATATACCTATATGAATGGAATGCAGGGTTCCACGAAAAGAGAATTTAAAGAAAAGAAAATAAATGTTTGGGTTAAGAAAAGATTACACTAGGTTTTTTTTTCTAGAGGCTATTGCTTTGTAAATGTGACCGATAGACTCACAAACTTTACATAAAAGTCCTTTCCTTTGGCTCAGTTTACACTTCAATACCTTCAAGACATATTATTTATTATATTCACGTCATTTGAACTCTGGTGGGAAGTTGTTTCATTGGCAATCATAGCAACGCTCCTTATTTTCAAATTGACCCTATAGTATGAATTAAAATAATCACATAACATATATGGTTTTCTTCAGAAACAGTGAAAGGCTGGGATTACTGTACATACTATATCAGTACCTATTTTCAAACTCATGGAAAGTACTGTTCTAATGGTTGCTGCAGTTACACAACGTACAATCCATGTTGTTCAGACTACTCAGATAACTATTATGACAATTATTATGACTATTATTATAGTCACACAGTGTAAGTCAGATATTACAGTTTCTTTATTTCAAAAGTCAATTATTATGACTTTTATTATAGTTACGCAGTGTAAGTGAGTTATTACAGTTTCTTTATTCTAAAAGTCAATTATTACAACTATTATAATAGTCACGCAGTGTAAGTCAGGTATTACAGTTTCTTTATTCCACAAGTCAATTATTACAACTATTATAATAGTCACGAAGTGTAAGTCAGATATTACAGTTTCTTTATTATAAAAGTCAATTATTATGACTTTTATTACAGTCACGCAGTGTAAGTCTGATATTACAGTTTCTTTATTCTAAAAATCAATTATTACAACTATTATAATAATCACGCAGTGTAAGTCAGATATTACAGTTTCTTTATTCTAAAAGTCAATTATTATGACTTTTATTACAATCACGCAGTGTAAGTCTGATAAACTTATGTACAAAACAATTAAAAAAAGCAAATATAATACACTACAACAAACGACAACCAATGAATGAAACCTATGCTTATGATTTTGCCACAGCCACACTTCCTATTTGGTGGGGTTAATATAAAATGAGAAGATGTGGTATGATTGCCAATGAGACAACTCTCCACAAGAGACCAAATGACACAGAAATTAAGAACTATAAGTAATGTACGGCCTTCAACAATGAACAAAGCCAATTTCGCAAACTTTTTAAGTCAGCTATAAAAGACCCCGAAACGACAAATGTGAAACAATTCAAACGAGAAAACTAACGGCCTAATTTATGTACAAAATAATGAACGGAAAACAAATATGTTACAGAGCAACAAACGACAACAACTGAATTACAGGCTCCTGACTTGGGACAGGCACATACAGAATGTTGCACATACATAACCATGTTTGCGGGTGCCCAATCCCGGACTTTGGTGTTAAAGCGGAACACACATCAATAAAAGCGCTGTTCCTTTGCTTTTTATGTTTTTCGTGATTGTGCGTGAACTGACTTTGTGTCATGGATGGATATCCCTTATCCGTTCTTTTCTATTATGTTAGAACTTATTGTAAGATTCAGTTGAAAAGGGGTTGACTCATCAGATTGATACAGAGCTAAAAAAAATTAATAAGAAAATCAATAAGACTTTAAACCGATTCACTCTATAAACATTATTCGCAGGAACTATGTACCCTTACAAACTAATGGAACCTGCTCAAGTAGGATATAGGGATAATTAGTTCCGGTATAATACAGATTTAGTGGACTCTAAACCGTTTTGGTTGATTTATCTCACGGGACAATTAATGAAAGATATTTATCACACTTTTCTTTATCAAACACAAACAAATAAACAGTGAGTAAATAAATGACATGTCTTTAAAAAAAATATTCATAAAAAAGTTTAACGAAACTAGTACAGGCAAAAACGCAAGTGATTTAGAAATTAGGCTCTTTCCAAAAAAGAAAATTGTAACTCTTTAAAAAAACACATTGGCCTTTCCAATGTTCTACTTTTTTTTTACCCCAATACAATTTATATGCAGAGTAATATTTCGAATGGATGATACTACAAATTAAAAAATCATTTTACAACATAATAACAAGTGTGGACACAGATGAATGTAGATAGTATGTTTGGATGTTTGACAGTGTTTTATATGACAAAAGGAGTTCTATGTTTTTCCTATATGGTGTTATTAACTGTGTTGCACGATGACAACCAACCTGAGCATGAGGAGTGTTGTTTATTTAATATTTAGATTTTATGTTCAAGAGGGCATGGAAGAGATACTAATTGCATTAATGACCAAATGATTATGATAGAATATTTTCCACATCTTTGATTTTGGATACATTTTGTAGCTAGGAGAGAAACACATAATAGGTTCATTTTTTCATGTGATTTTTTTTTAAATGGGAGATGATATCTGAGAACATGATATCAGGAGGCTGTAATTCAGTGGTTGTCGTTTGTCTATGTGTTACATAATATTTGGTTTTCGTTTATTGTGTGTACATAAATAACATAAATGACTATGCGTTATGGGCTTTGCTCATTGTTGAAGGCTGTACGGTGACCCGTAGTTGTTATTTTCTGTGTCATTTTGGTCTGTTGTGGAGAATTGTCTCATTGGCAATCATACCACATCTTTTTTATATGTATTTGCTCACTATTTGTATGGTTCTATTTATATTACTTTGTGGTGGATTGTCAGTATCATTAGTAAAATATTTTGTTAAAATGTCGAAATTGTTTCTCAGATTAGAAGACATTTATTGGTTTTTAGTAATGAAAATGCCTGACATGATGCTTGGGGCAAGATGAGCTAGAAATTAAACTTCTGTGTTGTTTTTTTATCAATTCTTTGATAACATCTCCTCCAAAGCTGGCCGAAGCAAAAAAAAGTTTTGACCAATATGAAAACGATATCAACAAAAAAACCTTTGTGAGCATGCTTCAAAGACTCATAACTGCTCCAAAAGTAATCTGATAGAATTTCAGGCATGTCAAGTGGGTATTATGAAAATCTACTTAATATGTCTAAATATCAAAAAAGTTATAGTATTCAATATGAAAAAGGTATTGCAAAATTATTCTCTTTTCAATTTTTTTTGTTATATGGATACAAATATAAGTGATACCAATACAGTATTTGTTGTGGTATGAAAGTGTAGTAATTAACATTTACTGTAACAATGTTAATTCACACAAATTAAGAAATAAACAAATGAATGAAAAATGTTGAACATGTACAATGAAATATAGTTTTAGAAATCAATTAGGCCAGATAGGCCTTATAATTTTTTTTTTTTTTTTTAACATACTGAATGACCATTTACACTCAGGACCGAGTCATCAGTAGGCAGTACAGATGTATTAAAACAACCTAGCATCATATTGCTAGTGGCGAGTGTAGCATTGTCAGGTAAATTTGTTCTTTTTTTTAAATTTGGTTAAAGGACAAAAAATGTTTGGTTCAAATCATAATAAAATGCTTTTATCTCCTTATTACTTACAGTGTAGTGAAATTGTACATAGAATGGATACTGCCCTGACAAATCCTTGTACATGAGAGTTGTCTTCACAAAGAATGAATTGCATAACAATGAACTGAGCTCAAAGCAAAGCACTTTAATAATACACTTAGACAAAGAGCTCAATCCAGTGATATACTTTGTACTACAGGTCCTTCATGAACATCCTATCCACCAAAACTATATCTCAAAAACATGCCATACTACATGTACATGGTTCAATCAGAAGTCCTGAAAAAGATATGAATTTTATTATCATATTTTAATTATATATACACAGGTTAAAAGTTATATACTCCAATGGCAGTCTTTCCTGCTAAAATGTCATGTGTAGAATGTGATATACCATTTTTGGGTCTATATGGGTACTGTCCTTTATATTCATTAGGTCATTTTGACACAGCAAAATATATAGAAAATGTTAACTTTGATCTGGAAATTGAGTTCTTTTTCGCAAAATAAACCCACTAAAACTAAACTTTGAATACAAAAGACCCCTAAATGGCTAACAGATATTGCTATAAAGAATAGTCCATGATGAGTATTGTTATTCAAGAGTTCATGAAATGTACACCGATTCTGTCAGTTGAATGGACTAGAATGAGATAAGTTATATAAACATAAAGGTTTTTTCAACAGTTGTGGTGTAAATTAAATCAGTTTTATTTTATGGTTGACATATTTAAGTATATATGTAGATCATTGGCTTTTCAACACATTGATATTTTACAATATCGATTATCTATTTATTGTTATAGTGTTGGTATTTTTCACCTTCCTAAAACAGTTTTAATGCAACATGAACGCAAGTTTAATAGATCTTGATAGGGTGTCCTCACATATTTTGACGTTGCTGAAAAATTTTGGTTGACATATGTATCCTCTTCTCATCGTTTTTCGTGCTATTAAGAATGCATACTGTCGTCACAATTTCCATTGAAAAGGCATGCATAGTACAAATTCATATGACGTACGAAAACATATGATCTGACCATATACATGTACATGTATGTATAGATTATCAGCTTTTCTACTCATATTAGCCAGTAAGCCGCAATGAACCTATTATGGCGAGTGAGCGCAGCTAATGAGCTAAAATGAATCAAATTGTGTCCTCAGTGGGGGATATTTTAAGGGATCTATATGAAGAAAACCTGATCATCTGTTTATCGTTCTATTACTGGCTTTTTCACCTCCCTAACTTGGCCTAAGACAGTTTTTACAGACGAAAGCAAGCTTGATAACTACTCCTCACACACATGACATATAGATTATCGGCTTTCCTACACGAGTCATGAATATCGTAAAATGTTAGCCAGTGAGCAGGCCCGCAATGAACCTTTTTAGCAAGTGAGCCCAGCTAATGAGCTAAAATGAATCAAATTGTGTACTCAGTCACAGTTGGTGATATTTTAAGGTATCTACACAAAGAAAACCTGCTTATATAAATCTCAGTGGCGGATCCACAACTTTTCATAAAAGGGGGGTGGCCGCTGACTGACCCAAGGGTTGCCCACTCCCGTCATGCTTCCCCAGTGGCGGATCTGGGGGGAGGGTTCCGAGGGTTGGAACCCCCCCTTTTTTTGGACGATCAATGCATTTGAATGGGGACACATAGTTGGAACCCCCCCCCCCCCCCCCCCCACCCTTTGTCCCGAGTTGGGAACCCCCCTTTTATAAAATGGCTGGATCCGCCCCTGCTTCCCTATAAAATCAACCAAATTTTCCTCACCCCCTGGATCCGTCTATGTAACTGTTTATCGTTCTGCGTAATACTGGCTTTTTCACCTCCCTTACTTGGCCCTAGCTATATATATAGACAGTTGCTTATCTGTTTATCGTTCTGCCACTGGCTTTTTTTAGACTAGAGACTTCATGTGTACAAACCTGACGTCACACTCGTGTACTATAAAAGAAGAGACAAATAATTTCACATTAAATCCTGTAACATTACATCTAAAGATAGTTATAATCCAAAGTAAATTATATTACGATGTCAATGGACTAAATTCCCGCGCAAATGTCATCACTGGGATAGACCAAAACGAATTTTAGGTTTATGTATCATTCACATTCCGATCAATTTACTCAGTTAAATAAAATATATGTGTTAACTATTTTTATATTGGTTTTGAATTTAGTTAATCTATCAGAAAAAAGGATTTATTTCTCGCAGATAGCCCTCAATACTATACACCAACTCGACACTGAAGCTAAAAAACCCTAAAACATAATAGTATATGGAATCGTCCAAACGGATTACCTAATATTGATATAGGTGAAATATGTAGATTCAGAATTGTGTACACAGAAATAAGATCAGAAATAAAGCCCTATGTAAGGTGAAAACAATAACACAACTGTATAAAATCATTGTTTATTAAATTTGCTTGCATAAGAACCATGAAGTTAAAATTTATAACGATTACGTTTATCCTGTCAACCCCTTTTCTTCATTGCATCAAGGCTTCCGTTGCTTTACATCGAGCAGCAATTCAACCAATCGGGGAATGTTAAGTTGGGACATACCTCTATTTTTGGAAGCGTGATCTTTACATCGAGGCTTGCGTTGCTTTACACCGAGGCCACAGTAGTTCGACCAATCGGGGAATGTTTATTTGGGGCATGTGACCTATTGAACTGCAGGTTTTATAATATTTTAATCGAAATTGTAGAAAAATGAAATGTTGTTAGTACATACAAAACAGAAAAAGATGAATACATTTAGTAAAAGATAATTTGGATCCGGGTTCTGTGTATTCACATCATTTGTACAACTCTCCTTACTGATGCCATTTTTTGGAATTTTTGTGACCTAAATGGTTCGCGAAAATTAATATTTTATTATATATATAGTAATTAAGCTATAAAACGGCAAGCTTTTTAGAAAAGCTATAACTTGTATTAGTATCATGAACCCGCTGTGTCGATCAATAAAGCCAATAAACGAATTAAGCTAGTTGGTGTTCATAAGATTGGTAGCTAAGTATCAGATATAATTATATTGATAATGTTTATGCCTGGTTATCATTTTGTATTTAGTGTTTTGTGTTTTAGTGGCATACTCTTGGTAGAGGGACTGGTAGATGTTTGGCTGTGTGGGATGTATGACTAAATGTTTCCGTTTGACTATTTCAGGATGCATGTGTATAAATATACCAGGCTTTCTTCATGTTCATGAGCCTTTAAAACCCTTCTTGTCAATTGCATGCCCTTTATAATGTATAGAAGTACAGGCATCATTCCAACACGTGTGTCTACTGTCAGTGGTATAGATTGTTTGTCATTAATGTTGACGTGTTAATAATTTTTTGGTAAGATGGATACAAAAAAAAACACACCATACATTGTATATATTGAGTAGTTGAAACCCTGGTTTGGTTAATACGGATTTATCAAATTTGATAAGGAATTTTGGTCTGATTGATCACTTTCAACGAGTGAAAGATTACCTGACACACATATCAAATCCAATATTACAGTGATAAGTTAATAACAAATGTACCATTATGCGCATGTAGAAAGCCGAATCTGATTTTTTTTTTTTATATAAGACTAAGTTCTAATAAACAATGGGAATAATACTAAGAAATTATGTGTAAAAATAGAGTTGAAAAGCACAGAGATGTAATACTTTAATCCTATTGCATTCTTGTTTAAAATTATAGATCTGCAGGAGCGATTGCGGGCATTGTGATTGGATGTCTCGTCGGAATGGGCGTGTTTATAACTGTAATTATCTGTGTTTGTAATGCAAGCCGCAGAAATACTGCATATGGAGGACAAGTGATAACATCAAATAATCCCGGTACAACGGTGTCGTACATCAGTACGTCTAATGGGACACGTAAGTTATAACTACAGTTTCATACCCAGGGTGTATTCGATTCCGTTTTTTGTGAAGGTATATGATAGAATTACCTTGATGAGTTATTATTCATACAACAATACACTTGTATAAACTGACCATTACCCATACAACATTACACATGTATAAACTGACCATTACTCATACAACATTACACTTGTATAAACTGACCATTTGGTAAACATCATTAAACATGTATAAACTGACCATTACTCATACAACATTACACATGTATAAACTGACCATTAAGCATACAGCACTACACATGTATAAACTGACCATTAGGCATATGACATTACACATGTATAAATCGACCATTAGACATACAACATTACACATGTATAAACTGACCATTACTCATGCAACATTACACATGTATAAACTGACCATTAAGCATAAAGCACTACACATGTATAAACTGACCATTAGGCATACACCATAACACATGTATAAACTGACTATTACTCAACCAACCTTACACATGAATAAACTGACCAGTAGACATACACCATTACACATGTATAAACTGACTATTAGGCATACATCATTATACATGTATAAACTGATCATCACTCATACAACATTACACATGTATAAACTGACCATTAGGTGTAGAACCTTACACATGAATAAACTGACCGTTATGCATAAAACATTACACATGTATAAAACTGACCATAAGGCGTACAACATTACACATGAATAAACTGACCGTTAGGCAAACAACACTTCACATATATACACTGACCATTACTCATACAAGATTACACATGTATACACTGACCATTACTCATACAACATTACAAATGTAAAAACTAACCATTAGGCATACAACATTTCACATGTATAAACTGACCATTACTCATTTTTCCTCTCAGTTAAATCGATTTATTACAATTGAACAGTGGTATACTACTGTGGCCTTTATTACACATGTATAAACTGACCATTACTCATACAACATTACACATGTATAAACTGACCATTAGGCATACAACATTACACATGTATAAACTGACCATTAGGCATACAATATTACACATGTATACACTGACCATTACTCATACAACATTACACATGTCTGCACTGACCATTAGGCATACAACATTACACATGTATAAACTGACCATTAGGCATACAACATTACACATGCATAAACTGACCATTAGGTATACAACAGTACACATGTATACACTGACCATTACTCATACAACATTATACATGTATACACTGACCTATTCGTTATCAATTAAGATTCAGCTGAAATCACTGTTGAATAAAAGACGACAAGACGAAAACTAATGAACTAATTTCTAAATGTCGATTTCTTTACAGATGTACAGCCATATGCACAGCCATATGCACAGCCATATGCACAACCTTACGGAGGCCAAGTAAATGGTGCTTTTGCAGTTGGTCAAACTACGCCAGCATATAGCAAAGGGAATACTTCAGCCCCACCCCCGTCATATACAAGTGTTGTGAATGATCCTGGACACCAGACATCAACAAATGTACAGGCACCATATCCTACGCCATCTGACCAGACACATTATTCGGATTTGATGCCACATTCAGATGGCAGTGAACATCATTACAGCACGATATCTGAAAGTAACACGCCATCCGCACCAAGTGCTGGATATACAGACTGATGTTTCACTTCAATTGGTACCGCTTATGTGATTAAATCATATGTACAAATGAACAACATGTAAAGTAAATCTTCAATGAAAATGGTTACACTAACTCTCTGCATTCTTGCCGACTATTTTCGATGTATATTTTTGTGCTATAAATGTTTCATGTAGCCGAAATTTGACTTCTTTTTATTGCATAGAACTTTCTTATTTTATGGACATTGAACAGGTTTATCTTTTAGAGAATTAAAAAAGAAAAAAAAATGACTTTGTTCATATCGACCTATAGTTTTTTCATGTTGTGATTCAAGTATTTGTTTACCAGCATTATGAATCTCATATGCTTCTTTTATGTGGATCTCTTCAAGGTCAACGATATTAATCACTTATATTTCATTTTCATGAAATTGATACCAGTTCAGAACATATGACCAGCTATTATATTCGGTGTTATTATGTTTTTATTGTAAAAACGTGTAATGTTTGCTGAGAAATGATAATATCTTCTATGCAAATGCTGGTAAAATGTAGGTAAAATAATAACTATTAATAGACATTTGTCATATATATAATTAATAAATATCTACAAATTCGCCATTACAGAATCTAAAGGACTATGGGTATTCTCATTGTTCGTACACCCAAATGAAAATAACGTTGAGTCATTGATTCAATTTCCATTGTTTAGAACGTTTTAAACCAATCACAACGTTTTTGGTGTCCGCTTTTGAAAATATTACCCAGAATGTTTTAGATTCAGAAACGGCGAATTATAACATATGGTCATTGTTGACTGTTACATGTAACATTATTTTCGACAACTTAATAATTTTTCTTAACCCTTAAATGGAAATGATTTTGATCAGAGAAGGAAGCATGCGATTGATTAGAAAAATAACATTGATAAGATTAAAATTGTTGCCTATACAGGGTCTATTTGGGTCAAAGATTTGGGTTTGAATGTTTTCACAAAAGGAATATAAATAATATCCACAGCACATGTAGATACAGGAAAAATCAGGGGTATTTTGAGGAAAAGTGTAGGCGTAAGGAGCATAAACAAGCCAAAAAAAAAGAGGACGAAATGAACTAGGCAGGCAGAACATTGGAGAAGAAAATGAAGACTAAAAAGAAGAAAAAGGAAAGAACTGATGGAAAACGAAACAAATATTCCTTGTCATCTGGTCTAAATTTATACAAGAATATTTAGTTTTTTAAATCTTTACATCTTGAATTTAATATACATACAGACATAGTTCATTGAAAATAATTGTAAATGATATTTGAAATATTGAGAACATGTCGTTCATAAAATGTTGTAAATTTTTATTGATAATTGAAAAAGAAAATTTAAAGAATATTCGGGAATAGTGATGATTTTAGAATTAGTGCTGTGATATACTTCAAGTCGATGTTACTATTCATGGCATCAATTATTATTCTTAAAAATGTATGTTTTTGTAAAGTGAGTTTGGGCAAAGAGTTTTTCAAAAAACTTAGTATTTATGTATATCATTATTTTATTTTGTTATAGTTTTATCTGTGTATGTTGTCATTAATCAAGTTATTAAAAATGAAGATATGTAATGTATGGTTTTAAATAATATTTACAAATGTTAACATATGAGAAGGAACCGGGTTACAAAAATGTCATACGTTGAGGTGAACGAACCCCTAAATACAGTGTATTTTAAATGCATACCATGGTTTGTATAAAGTAATTTAAGAATTTCTTGCTATTCGGTATGTCAAACTTGATGAGAACTTTGATTTTAGGATCTTACTTTATGCGGAAGACATTGTCTTGATTTCTGACTTGGAGAAAAGCCTATAGGGACAGCTTTCAACGTTTAAACGAATAGTTTGACATTTCTTTTCGATTTCCATGAGCACAAACGTATTACTTGTGGAAAAACATCCATCACATATGCGATCAAAAGGTTGGAATGTCAAAATATTAAAACTTAGAGCATAAAAACTAGTAAGACCATAACAAAACGTCAAAAACCGACTGCGTTTAAACTTTTTATCTGGGAGTTGCAACCTTAGTTTTATCAAAATAACATATATTATATGTTTTCATTAACTGGAAATACACACACACAATGAATACCATAACTGTTATAGATACTTAAACACTGGCAACTAGGTGTATGCTAACATCGGGAACTAATATTTCACCAACAGTGGTACCGACATTTCTATATGTTACACTCTTCTCATCATTTGTTAAAGAAAGAAAACAAAGATATAATTGTTTAACCTACATTACTGCATTTAACCAGAATCTTGCACTCTATTCTATTCAATCGTGCCAATACCAATGCTCACATGGAATAATTAACTGGTAGAACCTGTTACCCGTGTTAACCACCGATTTTTGGTGGGGTTCAGGGTGCAAAAGTTTAGCCTTTCTGTAGTATTTTGTGGATTTTTATTGTTGGTTTGTCGTAATTCGTTTTTGGCAATGTCTGTCTTTTGTTGAATTGGGGTAAGCAAGTAGGTAAATTTTATTTTGAGTCAAAACATATATCAGAGCAATACTGAAGCAACATAAGTTCTAAGGAGGTCTTACAACCGACTATATAAAGCATCAGCATATATTTACACAAACTAAAACATATAAGTATGCAGCATAATATACAACATTTGACAAACGAGCACACATTAAGTTTATAACCACTCAGTTTCTCCAAAAAGGTATACTGTAAATTACATTGTGACAAATTTTAGAACACATTGATTATCGTCTGAATGTTGCAACTGGTATACACTTGTAAAAAGTAAAATAACAAAAATACCGACTCCGAGGAAAATGTAAAACGGAAAGTCCCTGATCAAATGGCAAAATAAAGAGTTCAAACACATCAAACGAATGGAAAACAACTGTCATGTTCCTGACTTGGTACAGGCATGTAGAAAATGGTGGAATACACTTCTCACTTGTATGACAGTCGCATAAAATTCCATTATATTGACAAAATTGACCTTACTGACCTGTACCAAGCTAAGATAAGCTGTAAGTGGCTGATGGTGCTATAACAGAAACAAAATGTCTGAATGAAAAACGAATGATTTCAACAGAGAAACTGACAAGTATAATGGAAACATAAAATTTATTACCAAAAAACATTAAAAAAACTGACCAGTGATGAAAAATACAATGAATTATGGATGTGCAGAGGTATTGCTGCGTAGCTGATATATCCCCGTCACATGCCGAATGAAAGCTGACTGAAATGGGTGGGCGGAGGGAATAGTTTTTGTTAGACAAGGACTGCTAACAAACTGAACGAAACAAGAAGACTGAGCGTTATCTATCAAAATAATTCTAACATCTATGATCTGCCCGCTAAGCTATAAATTCCTGACGAGACACAAAAAAAAAAACAAACACCGGAAAGTCGTCATAGATCATTAAGAGAAGACATCTCAACCGAGCAATAAAATGCAGCTATCGAAAAAATTATAACCCAAGTTGTATGCTATATATACAAACAATTTAAAACTTATGTTTTGATTGCCCAGCAAGGTGTACACCCTCATTTTTTTAATTTTGAAATATCGATTAAAAATCTATAAAAAAACTTCTTCTTTAATATTCAGTCCTGTTTCAGTGATTATTTCATTTTCGAATCTAATGATTATCATTGTTTTAGATATAAGTCTATACAGGACAAATAAATAATATGCCAATAATTAAACTTTGTTATAAACAACATGTCCTCAATGATGGTTACCGAATACAGATTTGTGAAATTTAATTTTTATTTAATTTTTTTGTTATTATGGAAAATATTGCATACTAATTTTGTTTAATTTGCCAATGAATTGTTGCACATATCACTCTGCCAATTAGTTCCCTACACATATCATTTACATATGGAGATGCACATTTTAAAGGTCTTGCGATTTCTTTTTACGTTACATAGATTCATCTCTTCTTAATCCGTGTACGAGATTTGAACATCGGTTAACTGCTGTCTATTCCAAAGCGTTCGCTGCATATCTGTGGTGAAGTTAAAGTTTTCAATGAACTTAATCTATGAATCTTTGGTAAATTTTTAAGTCAGGCATTACGTCAAATTACGAAAACCATTTGTTAATTCTTTCATAAATACAGCTACTTGGTTTTGAAGTGTGTCTTTACCTGTAGAAGAAGGGCGAAAGATACCAAAGGAATATTTAACTCATTAGTCGAAAACAAATTGATAATGTCATTGCAAAAACACAAAATACGATCAAAAGACAAATTACAGTTTACAAAACACAGCATTGAAAACTAAGACTGAGCAACACGCACCCAACCAAAAACCCGGTAAAACTCTTATTAAAAACTGGATGTCACACCCTCATTTATACGGGGATGTTATTCATAGAGCCCGTAAATTTAGCGACGATCCATGAAAACTTATCGATTCTTTGAATAATCTATTCTAAAAAGTTATTAATCTAACACTGTAAAACGATATTTAAATATGGCTTTTATGGGTACTAACATTGATTTCGGTATTAATTAATCAATTGGAACTTTACTATATAATGTATTCCTATGCAGTTATGAACACATATGGTGGTACTAAAAGGAGGTAAAGATAAAACAATTATAACAACCATACATAAATGTATTAAAACGATAAGTTCTGAATTTGCTTTTCTGATTTTACATGTATCACACTCCTAGTGTACTTCGGTACTGACATGACAATACAGATATTGTTTTATTGGAATCTACTATCATGAAATACTATAAAAAATTCTAAATAAAGAAATATATCTGCCTTTTGAGAAGCGTTAACGTTTTGTCCGGATTTGGCTATTTTTCAGTTCTTTTGGTCTGATCAGTTCTTCAACTGTTCATATGGTAAAAAGAATAATGTTTTACTTGTTGTATACCAGACTAAAATACAAATATATTAGTTACTTAACTGCTGATTTGGTGAATGCGGATCTATATAAGCTATCACGGAATATCGGTCTGTTTTTGTTAATTTGAGTCTCAGTATTGACAGACAGTATCACACATATCAAATAAAACAAACAACAAAAACAATCATTAATTGGTACAAATACCGTCCAAAGTTTATATGATACACCATATCCACATATCATTAGCCGAAATTGGTATCTCAAACAATATAAAAGCATCTTAGATATCAGCAAAATAATTCATCCTTTCTTCCTAATGTAGATTACAAAATGGCTTCTTTGAAAGTTAAGCAATTTTTAAAGAAGTATAGTTGAAAAGCTAAAACAATATATACTACAATATTAATGCATTCTTGTTTTGATCAGATCTGTAGAAGCAATTGCGGACATAGTGATAGGCTGTTTAACAGGGTTGTGCTTGTTTATAACTGTAACTATCTGTGTTTGTAAGGCAAACCGTAAAACTGCATATGGTGGACAATTAACAACAACAACAAATCGTAGTACAACAGTCTCGTACACCAGTACGTCAAATCGGACACGTAAGTTAATTGAAACCAAGGGTGCATTCGTTTCCTTTTCAATGTGAATACAAATAAATACGCACTTTTGTCTTGCCTCATCGGGACGATACATGAATTATATAGACATATAGACTATTTTACAAAAATAAATAAAAATGTTTAAGCCTTAACACAGAAAAAGAAAGTCGTCGATTTTTTTTTCTCTCTTTCATGGCAAGTACAAATGAAGTCCGTGTTTTGCGATAATGTGTGTAAATTGTTTCGACAATTTACAATTTAGTATTGATAATGTTGATGCTCATTGCTCAGCCTTCCATGTTGTTTTTGATTTTCGTAGAGATTAATATTGATAGACAGCAGACCGTTTTATTAAAACCCGTTCAACGCTGGTAATAGAAGTAGGATACAAGTTGATATTGCAAGCAACAGACTTTCAAACCAGTATGCATTGGAAAAAAATTAAAAGGAGAAAATATCCTTCATAAAACTTTCCTTTGCCAACAAAAAATTCGATGCCATCAACTTTGCAATATCCTTCATCATAAATCAGTTCAATCGAAAATATCTCCCTACTTTAAAGATCAGTCCGTACCTATCATGCCTGATACCTACACCAAATCAACTGCAACTTAAATGATTAATTAGAAACAAGTGTTGCAGGATCTTGCAGTGTTGCAGGACGACTTCAATTATAAACATCCTGATTGCACCTGTGATAGTTCCCCATTCATATATTATCCGTCTGGCTACGTTATTACTGCTGTCCCAAACATTGTCAATAACACTTATTGTGAAACTACCGATTCTAGAGGTGGCGTGAATCAGATGTGGATACTATAAAAAAAAATCAAAGATCCATAAGAGTACATACCATCTAAGGCTCTCTCATCTTGCATTAATATTAAAACATTTGACTTTTCTACACTCTACACACGTATTCCTCATTCCAAACTAAAAGACAATTTGAATGAGTTGGTCCTGTTTTTTTAAAAGAATTTTCAACGTAGATATAAATATCTTGTCTTAGGGAGGGATTATATCGCTTTTAGTCACTAGCACACTGTTTAACGAATTTATCTTACCGACTATCTTAACATGTGGCATTTAGACTAGTGGCATTTCAAATTGATCAAG